TATCAAATGCTTCAAATAAATTTAAACCAGTTCTGTCTGCTGATGATGATCACAGTTGTACTCAACAACACAGTCAGTGTTGAGCTCGTTAAAATATCTACTTGGGTTACAATTAACAAATTCACATTTGTGCGCACAGGACCTTTAATATAATATTTAGGAATAAAGGAAAGCATTATCTATATTAAAAAAATAAACAATACACCAAATAATGGGAGGGACGAGGGTATTTTCTTGGTAATACACCTGGACAGCACTAAAATTTGATACTCATACCGAGAGCATTTCTAATACAATTGCCAAAATAGTGGACAATCCCTCAAAAATACCCTATTATGTTCCTCAAACACCCCTGCTAACCCTGGACTACTCTTTAATCTAACCAAACCTCACCTATGGTATTTTTGCATAGGGATCATCAAGAGCCAGTCACCTTAAACCTGTTTTACTCAGCAAAAATCAGCTCTCAGAATTATTACTCATTCAGGTTTCAAGCAACACACACACACACAAACTTTCTGGAGTTTTATGATAAAGTAACAGAAGTAAGACACGAGAGAGAGGGGTGGGTTGATTGCATCTTCTTGGACTGCAAGAAGGCCTTCGACACAGTTCCTCACAAGAGATAAGTGCAGAAACTAGAGGATCAGGCACGTATAATGGATCAGAGAATACCTGACAGGGAGGCAACAACGAGTCATGGTACGTGATGAGGTATCACAGTGGGCACCTGTGACGAGCGGGGTCCCACAGGGGTCGGTCCTAGGACCAGTGGTATTTTTGGTATATGTGAATGACATGATGGAAGGGATAGACTCAGAGGTGTCCCTGTTCGCAGATGATGTGAAATTAATGAGGAGAATTAAATCAGATGAGGATCAGGCAGGACTTCAAAGAGACCTGGACAGGCTGGACACGTGGTCCAGTAACTGACTTCTCGACTTCATGGTCTATACTCCGATCCTTCTCCGATCCTTCTCCGATCCTTCTCCGATCCTTTTCCAATCCTTCTCCGATCCTTCTCCGATCCTTCTCCGATCTTTGGCAAGTCATGAAGATCGGAGAACGGCAAAGAAGACCACAGACAGAGTATAGGCTAGGTGGCCAACGACTGCAATCCTCGCTCAAAGAGAAAGATCTTGGGGTGAGTATAACAGGGAGCACACATCAACCAGATAACTGCTGCAGCATATGGGCGCCTGGCAAACCTGAGATTAGCATTCCGATACCTTAGTAAGGAATCTTTCAAGACACTGTACACCGTGTACGTCAGGCCCGTACTGGAGTATGCAGCACCAGTTTGGAACCCGCACCGGGTCAAACACGTAAAGAAATTAGAGAAAGTGCAAAGGTTTGCGACAAGGTTAGTTGAGGGAAATCGGCCTGACGACACTGGAGGACAGGAGGGATAGGGGAGACATAATAACGACATACAAAATACTGCATGGAATAGACAAGGTGGGCAGAGACAAGATGTTCCAGAGAGGGGACACAGAAACAATGGGTCACTCTTGGAAGCTAAAGACTCAGATGAGCCACAGGGATGTTAGGAAGCATTTCTTCAGTCATAGAGTGGTCAGGAAGTGGAACAGTCTGGCGAGCGATGTAGTGGAGGCAGAAACCATACCTAGCTTTAAGACGAGGTATGACAAAGCTCAGGAAGCAGAGAGAGGACCTAGTAGCGATCAGTGAAGAGGTGGGGCCAGGAGCTGAGTCTCGACCCCTGCAACCACAATTAGGCGAGTGCAATTGAGTACACACACACACACACACACACACACACAGATGAGAAGAATTAAATCGGATGAGGATGAGGCAGGACTGCAAAGAGACCTGGACAGGCTGGACATGTGGCCCAGAAACTGGCTTCTCGAATTCAATCATGCCAAATGCAAAGTCATGAAGATTGGGGAGGGGCAAAGAAGACCATAGGCAGAGTATAGGCTAGGTGGACAAAGACTACAGACCTCACTCAGGGAGAAAGACCTTGGGGTGACCATAACACCGAGCACGTCACCGGAGGCACACATCAACCAAATAACTGCTGCAGCATACGGGCGCCTGGCAAACCTGAGAATAACGTTCCGATACCTTAATAAGGAATCGTTCAAGACACTGTACACTGTGTATGTTAGGCCCATACTGGAGTATGCAGCACCAGTCTGTAACCCACACCTGGTCAAGCACGTCAAGAAGTTAGAGAAAGTACAAAGGTTTGCAACAAGGCTAGTCCCAGAGCTCAGGGGAATGTCGTACGAGGAAAGGTTGAGGGAAATCGGACTGACGACACTGGAGGACAGAAGGGTCAGGGGAGACATGATAACGGCATACAAGATGCTGCGGGGAATAGACAAGGTGGACAGAGATAGGATGTTCCACAGAGGGGACACAGAAACAAGGGGTCACAACTGGAAGCTGAAGACTCAGACGAGTCACAGGGACGGTAGGAAGTATTTCTTCAGTCATAGAGTCGTCAGGAAGTGGAATAGCCTAACAAGTTAAGTAGTGGAGGCAGGAACCATACATAGTTTTAAGAAGAGGTATGACAAAGCTCAGGAAGCAGAGAGGGAGAGGACCTAGTAGCGATCAGTGAAGAGGCGGGGCCAGGAGCTGAGTCTCGACCCCTGCAACCACAATTAGGTGAGTACAATTAGGTGAGTACAGAACGACATGACGGAAGGAATAGGCTCCGAGGTGTCCCTGTTTGCAGATGACGTGAAGTTCATGAGAAGAATTCATTCGATCGAAGACCAGGCAGACCTGGTCCAGCAATTGGCTCCTGGGGTTCAATCCCACCAAGTGCAAAGTCATGAAGATTTGGGAAGGGCAAAGAAGACCACAGACGGAGTACAGTCTAGGGGGCCAGAGACTACAAACCTCACTCAAGGAAAAAGATCTTGGGGTGAGTATAACACCAGGCACATTTCCTGAAGTGCACATCAACCAAATAACTGCTGTAGCATATGAGCGCCTAGCAAACCTCAGAACAGCATTCCGACATCTTAATAAGGATCGTTCAGGACCCTGTACACCGTGTACGTTAGGCCCATATGCGGCACCAGTTTGGAACCCACACCTAGCCAAGCACGTAAAGAAACTAGAGAAAGTGTAAAGGTTTGCAACAAGACTAGTCCCAGAGCTAAGAGGTATGTCCTACGAGGAGAGGTTAAGGGAAATCAACCTGACGACACTGGAGGACAGGAGAGATAGGGGGGACATGATAACAACATACAAAATGCTGAGAGGAATTGACAAAGTGGGCAAAGACAAGATGTTCCAGAGATTGGACACAGTAACAAGGGGACACAGTTGGAAGTTGAAGACACAGATGAATCACAGGGGTGCTAGGAAGTATTTCTTCAGCCACAGAGTAGTCAGGAAGTGGAATAGTTTGGGAAGCGATGTAGTGGAGGCAGGATCCATACATAGCTTTAAGCAGAGGTATGATAAAGCTCAGGGTTCAGGGAGAGTGACCTAGTAGCGACCAGTGAAGAGGCAGGGCCAGGAGCTTGGACTCGGCCCCTGCAGCCTCAACTAGGTGAGTACACCTTTATTCAAAAGTTTAAATTTACTTAACCTATACAGACCGGGCCGCAGGGGCGCTGGCCCCCGGAACTCTCTCCAGGTAAAACTCCAGGTACAATATTCACACTTTCTACTGTGGACGCTGCCACCAGGACACTAACGTTAACTCGGAACTTAAATTCTATCTGGAGACCTGCAATAGAATATATGAACACAGAACATGGAATAAATATATCTTAGACATTCCACATGTATGATTCAACTTATTTAAAAACTCCGTGAAGATAAAAGGCCCAAAAATTTGAAACTCTCTGCCTGAAAATGCCAGAAATTCCATGTCTACCAACATCTTTATAAATTCTCATGCTTATTTATTTGTAATTTATCATTTCTTCATTTGCAACCTGTCCACTGTACTTACGGATGTTTTGTATTACCCAAGCTAGTCTAACTTAAATTTTACTCTAGATCTAAAATTAAGTAGCTAGCAAACCTTATGATTACCTTATGAGTAGTTTGCCCTAAATGTATTTGCATAATTAATGGTTTTCTCAAGTCTTATATTGTATCTACTTATATCGGTATTGTAATTTGATTAAACCCAGTATGTAATCATTTGGAATCTATAGCTACTGTATTTATATAGCTCTTTAAAAATATTTTTAATTTAATGTAGCTAGTGTGTCATCGGGGACTGTCTCTTATTTTAATTTGGGTCTTTAAATCTTCTCCCCCAGGGTGCTACCCACAACAGTCGACTAACACCTCAGGTACCTACTTGCTGCTAGGTGAATAGAGGCAGTAGGTGTAAGGAATCATGTCTAATGTTCCAATGTTCCATCCATGCCGGGGAGTGATCCACGGTCCCTCAGTGTGTGAACTAAGGATGTTATCAACCGAGCCACGAGCGCCCAAGCAAAATCATGTATAAGTAGACTGCCCGTGTAGAGATTTCCCGCATAAACCTTAATCTGAGTGCCATTTTTTTCTGGAAGCCTGGGAAGATGTCGTGCATTGGTTGATTTCTTTGTCCTTCTGGGTATGAATATGTTGTCTTTGAGGAGTCACCTTGTCCTGGTTAGAAAAGGCTAATGTGTTAAACAAATAATACTTCTTATTTATGATATATCCAAGATGCTTAAACAATTTAAACAAAATTATTATGCAGTTCATGGTGTCTGGCGGTGATGATAATGATGGCCATGATGATGGGCTAGTGGAAGTTGCAAAGTATATGTTTGTTAGCCCTAAAACACCAATTTTCTATGAATAATTGTGCGATGTCCGAATATTTCAATGTGATGTAACTATAAACAAAATAATTTTTTTTTAACCTTCTTGATGAATTTAGACAATCACTTAGCGTATATTGAAAGAGTATGAAACTTATATGGTGATCGATTTTATGTATTTATTATTTCTTATACAAATGTTGCATGGAAGTACGTCAGGGACGATGGATACGGACACGGGCACTAAGTTTGTAAACAAATGGTTGTGTGATAGGTATCTTATCACTATCGACGACCTAACCTGTTTTTTTTTTTTTTTTACCGACATGAGCATGATGGGGGACAAGGGTGATGGTATTAAGCATACGCCTATCGCAGAGACTGAGTTAAATCATCTTAGAGGTATGAGAACTATTTGCATGCTGTCGTTAATCATTGTCCCGTGAATGAAGGTTCCTTGACACTGAAGGACTCTTGATCCATGAAATTGGAGCTACCCTCCACTTTCTTCGGCCATACATGGCTTCCTCTCAGTTCCCCGGACGCATTATGATCCGTATGAATTTAATGATTTCCTTCAGTAGGATGAAACTTACTCTAATTCTGGTCACCGTAAACAATGACAATAATACCATATGAGGATAAGAAGAAGTCTATAATAATAATAATAATATTTTTATTTACTACAAGTACATATACAAGGTATACAGTCAATGACATACTACTATATAGAAAGCCGCTTGTTATGCTCTGCATGTCGGGCAAATTAGGTCAGTGTCCCAGGATGCGACCCACACCAGTCAACTAACACCCAGGTACCCATTTTACTGATGGGGAACATAGACAACAGGTGGAAAAAAACACGCCCAATGTTTTACTCTGGCTGGGAATCTAACCCAGGCCTTCGCCGTGTGAAGCGAGAGCGTTAACCACCAGGCCACCAGAGCCGATTTGATTATTTATATTATTACTTCCAGGGTAAAAGTAACTATAGGTATACAGGCTTAGGTGAAATTCATGTCCATCTGTTTTTTTTTTTTTTTCATTATTATTTTTGCAATTGTAATATGAATATAAATTACTTTTTTAGATAAATATTTGCTGTCGTGCTTGTGTCACCCATGTATGCTAAACTACTTATGTGTGAGACACAAAACTGTAAATTTTTGGCATAGATAAATTGGCGGATTGTATTTTTGTTTAGTTTGATAGATGTGCAACATTGTGTTGTTACTATGATCTGTGTGACAGTTTACAAGCTTATATCAAGAGCTAACTATGTTTACCTAACGTCTCCATAGTTCAGAATGGTTGTTCATAAAATGTTTTCACAGCATTAGTTGTAAGCAGAGCTGGATTAAGATTTTGTAGTCCCCTGGGTTACAGGTATTGTGAGGGGCCCCCAGTGATATTTTCAGAAGGAAAACAAGTTAAAGAATTATATTTATTTTTACAATGCTAACAACAGTTAAAATCCAAACATTTGCTTTGCATAATTTCTTGGAAACAAATTGTGAACACTTTTCACTTAATCTCTGGGGGCCCTCCAGCTGGTGGAGGCCCTCCAGCTGGTGGAGGCTCTCCAGCTGGTGGAGGCCCCTGGACTGCAGCCCCTAAAGCCCATGCTTTAATCTGGCCCTAACTGTCAACTCTACTTGAATCTTCGCAGCAGGTCTGCAGTTGTTTCTTACACAGACAGTATCACTATTGCACAGAATGATGCATTTTTTCACTCATATAGATGACTACATTCACAGTGATGACTAAAGTTCTCCTACAATGTCATTTACCACATACAACCTCACTTTGGATATAACAATGGAAATATCACAAAGAAGAGGCAGACAGTTGGGAGGACATCTCCATCCTCATGAGACCATCTTTAATGCCAGTTAGGGCTGGTGATTGATCCTGATTGCCTTCCATTCCTAAGACCTGTATGAACCCAACTGGTTTAGTGCTTCCCCATTAATGTAATAATAAATAATTGGGAGGGCATAATTTTCGTTAGATAATCCTCTCACAGGAGGTTTATGAGCACTCTAGAAAGGAGAGATAATGTATATGTGGTATAGGCTGGCCTCATTTTACAGTGTTTCGCTGTACAGTATTTTACTAATACAGGATTTTCAATTGTACCCATTCTTCTTTAATTTAGACTTTGTACAATAAATATATTCACCACTCATTATAAGCTAAGGACAAAAATATTTTAAAGTAAGTAATGTGTGTACTGTATATGCATTTCTAAGGCCTAGCTCTGTTGCTCAATATATGATAGTGTAAACAAATTATTAGGCTTTTATATGTATTTGAAAGTGAAAGAAGGCTATGTTTCACTTTACAGCAGTAGCCCAGAACCTAACCTACTGCATAAGTGGGGCCCTCCTCTAAATAAAAGATACCAGAGGGCCTGGTTCCAAAACTGCACACTACCATAACAACGTACTGGAGTGTGAGATATGGGAGTATGTGTAAAATATACTTACTGAGAAAGAGAGGAACAATAGGCAGAATAAAAAAACACTGTATCAGCATCTGTGGACCTTGACTATTCAAAGCGCTGCTGTCAGACATCAAAAATACTGCAGGAAGAAATGTAGAAGTCTTCAAAGAGGGAAATGGATCACTATACTACCTCTGCTAAGTGTCAGATAAGTGATGGATATGTGGGCCAGTGGGCTGCCTAGTTAACCAGGCAGTCACCAGAGAAACCTGGTCCTAGGTGAGACTGCAGAAGTAGGAAGACTTGAAACCAATCACAGGTGTATCTCATGTATATACAATATGTCTGTGTACTTAAACACATTGAACATAAAATGCTATCATACAGTACATTAATTGACTCATGTTTACACACTAAAAATGTTTAACATTCACCATGGTAATTAGTTTATTTGGAAACCTGTAAGTTGTACAGTGTACTAGTCCACATACGGTCAAGTTTTTGTCAACTTATCCTTAGACATATGATAAAAAGAACTTTGTTTCCATCTAAAATAATTTTAAGCTGCAGATGAATCGTAAAGCTTTTTTTTTTTTTTTTTTTTTAGAATATTAGTATGAAAGCTCATACTGATCTTCTAATATTGGGTAACACCAGAAACCTTCTATGTATACTAAGAAAATCATCACCCCCAATTAGGGAGATATCTTGTATAGCATTCTACTGTTAAAATTATGCTACATTTACTATGATGGGACACCACCTTGTAAGAAGCTAACGTGTCAAGTAATTCTTTACGAATTGTCCAGACAATTATCGCCTTCATTGTCATTTAAATATTCGTTGTGCAATCGCAGAAAAAAAAAAGCAATTGCAACTTGTATAATTACTACCAATTCAGAGTCATGTACTTATATATCTGTTATATCTATGTGACTCTGATGGGTTAGTATTATACCCCTTCAAGAATATTTTATTATTCCACATACACTTTTTAAATTGCACCAAAGTGGTTGGGCCACTTACCTTTTATATCCTACCTCTCTCCCCCCTCCCACCCTTTTCCAATATTTCTATCCTTACCCATCCTACTTCCTTATCCATCTTACCAAAGACTCTGGTCATAAGAAGAAGAAGCAGCTCATAGGAGTTCTGCAATTTACAAATTAGAGGGATTGCTGTAGGTAGTGCCTATGTATTTGTTATTACTCTTCAAAAAAAATTATAGCTACAGTATATGGTACTAATTATTGGGTGTTGTATACTATATGTGTTACCAAACTTTCAGGATTGTCCTTTAGAGACTACATCAAATCAGAACTACGCCGAGGTTATTTGCTTGAAAATGATGAAGAGAGATATACAGCACGTCGAGAGAAAGTTTATACTTTCTTTAAGATTCCACGAGAGGTAAGCTTATGGTTTTCAAGCATTTGTTTTACATTTACTGATGAGCAGTTAGTCCAGTTTATGAAAATCTGATGGAAACTCATAAAAATTAATACAATATGACTTATTTTTCAATATTTACAATTTTTCATACTTCTAGAAGTGAAAATTCCCACTCTTCAGATGAACCCAGTATGTTGCACACTGAATTCTTGATTGAATACAAAATATTCCAACATCAGATGAATGTCTGACAGACTTTGATCTGTTTGGTGTACTTAGTTTACTTATGTTGAGGACATGTTATCTGTTCAGACTATGTTGTGCTTTTTTGTTGAGCATGATTGGTTTTTAGTTTTGCAGTTTAGCTGTTGATTATAAACACTCTACTGTACTTGTACATTTCTTTACCATTTACTGAAAGTAGTTGAAGATGATAGCTACTCACAGCAGCATATTTTTAATTATAATTACCTATTTGTAGCTACAGGAGCAGAGCTCTGCTGTGTACTACACATGCAAGGTCATGGAAAAACTTGTCACAACATTAGATGTCAGCTAGGACACTGCCATAACCAGAGGCTGGCGTTTATTTGACATTATAGATGCACTTACAGCACGCACATCAAGGTGTTATGGGGTAAAGTGCCCTAGTCAACCATCAAGGCAGACCGAGGTCATTTTTGGCTTTTTTTTGGTGAATACTTTTTCTGGATTTTTCTCAGTAAGGGGTCATGTCCAGGAAATTGTGGCTTTGACACGAATAGTGAGAGGTGAGGGCTTTGAAGATAAACGTGAAGTAGATATAAATGAACTGTTAGAAGAGGGTGATGAAGCACATACTGTTAGGAAAGAGGCAGAGAACAGAAAACAGTGTGGAGAAGAACCTGTGTATTTTTTTTTTTTTTTTTCAACAAGTTGGTCGTCTCCCACCGAGGCAGGGTGACCCAAAAAAGAAAGAAAATCCCCAAAAAGAAAATACTTTCATCATCATTCAACACTTTCACCACACTCACACATTATCACTGCTTTTGCAGAGGTGCTCAGAATACAACAGTTTAGAAGCATATACGTATAAAGATACACAACATATCCCTCCAAACTGCCAATATCCCAAACCCCTCCTTTAAAGTGCAGGCATACTTCCCATTTCCAGGACTCAAGTCCGACTATAAGAAAATAACCGGTTTCCCCGAATCCCTTCACTAAATATTACCCTGCTCACACTCCAACAGATCGTCAGGTCCCAAGTATCATTTGTCTCCATTCACTCCTATCTAACACGCTCATGCACGCTTGCTGGAAGTCCAAGCCCCTCGCCCACAAAACCTCCTTTACACCCTCTTTCCAACCCTTTCGAGGATGACCCCTACCCCTCTTTCCTTCCCCTATAGATTTATATGCTTTCCATGTCATTCTACTTTGATCCATTCTCTCTAAATGACCAAACCACCTCAACAACCCCTCTTCTGCCCTCTGACTAATGCTTTTATTAACTCCACACCTTCTCCTAATTTCCACACTCCGAATTTTCTGCATAATATTTACACCACACATTGCCCTATAAACATTTAATACTGTAACAGTTATGTAAGCTATTCCATGCGATAGGTAAAATTGCAGACTTTTTCACTGCAGAGGACCCTAATACATCTAGACTCATTGCTCTGAGGAGGTTTTTGTAACAAGAAATGATGTCTTATCATCAGCCATATAAAATATTGCAGGGTAACAGACCAGATGCATTACATGACCTGAACACTCCAGTACAATCATTCATTATAAGCTTGCATCCACTACAGCACAAGAACCATAGCCATCCACCTCAGCCCACTTCACAAACTCTTATGTCAACAAGCAAAAACAGCAATATAATTTTTATTAATTTTTGTTTATTAGAATTTAAAAAAATTGTTTGGCAAATTTGAAAATGTGTGTGGAACATAACCTTGCAATCCCAGATGTTCGCCTCCTCATGTAACATTATGTTTAAGTTATGTGCCTATTTTCAGGTACATAACTCACTTATTAATTGAGGATTAACTGTACAGTGTTTTCATCCAACAGAATGAGCATCTTTAGAGAGACAGATGGCTTTCCTGAATGAGTGTGGTACAGCATATGACTTAAGGCAAAGAAAAACAAAATTCTAAAATTTTATTAAGTTAAAATTTTGTGTGGGTCTTGGAACTCTTATTTGGACCAAGTTTATTTAAGTGGCTTCACCAGCATCACAGTGAAGCCAATAATTTTCATGTTGAAAAGAAGCTCAGAATTGACTAACCACTGCTTTATAGGGTGACCTTACAGGTTTAAACTCCGCCACAGTATTTATCACCTTAAAGTATCTGTATCAGGTGACCTGTGATATTCTCCTGTAGTACTGTATCAAAATCTGATATATCCCATATTATGCTTAATTCATCTACAATGCATTTTTTATAGTACAGTACAGAATTCTTTATCCAAAAATCCAAAATCTGCAAACTCCAAAAGTTTTTAGTGTTGACGTAGCACTTCTCAAATGTATCATTCCATGCAAGACGTAGTGGAGGCTCAATCCTCCATCTGTTGTGCTGAAACAGATGAACTTCATATTTGTACTTACTGTCAGCAGCATTTACCATATTTTACGGCGTCAAAAACGCTATTTTTCTTTTCCCAAAATAAATCTTGAATATTTACCCAACATTTTGGAGGTAGAAACTTACGTTATTCATAGGCCTCAGCCTAAGCCTAGAGAAGTGTTTTGATACTAGACAGTAATCTAATCTCCTGTATATGACCTAATAATGAATTGTGTAAACTACTTTGTATAAAATAATGAATAAATAAAAATGATCATTAATAGTAAAAATTCATTAGTGCTTAACACGGGTAGGCTAAGGTAAACCAGACGATGGTGTATGAATTATGGGTTGTATCAGTAGGCTAATTCGCCTGTTTCCCATCAAACCACTCGGTATTAACATTTTTACTTACCTGGAGAGAGTTCCAGGGGTCAACGCCCCCACAGCCCAGTCTGTGACCAGGCCTCCTGATGGATCAAAGCCTGATCAACCAGGCTGTTACTACTGGCTGCACGCAATCCAACGTACGAGCCACAGCCTGGCTGGTCAGGGACCGACTTTAGGTGTTTGCCCTTACCACCAATGATCCTGATATTAACCGTTTCAGGGTCCATGCCATCCATGGGTCTGTATGGTGAGTTTGCACCATATCAAAAAAATCCTGCCCCATGCAGTGCATGATAGAAAAAACAAAAATGTGATTGTGTGTGTATGGTTTAAAATAGCATATTTGCAGTGTATTTTTCAATGTTTTTTTTATGGTTTTATTCTCAGTTTCTTGGTATTATTTGATAGAATGGAAGATATATTACAGAAATAGAGAAGATTTTGATTGGTTTGAGGACTAGAAGTAGCTTGAAATTACACTCACACTAGCAGAAATATTCGATTTTTATCATTAGTCCAGAGGACACTAATCATGTCGCTTGTCTAATGTGTCCAGTTGGCTGGTCTAATGCATGTTCACTACTGTGTTGACATTATTTAAACAATTACTATTACAATAATGCAGGTGCCTGCATAACAGTAAATTTACTACTTATCAAATACGAAGTATATAGTAATCAATAAACTTAAAAACGTAAATATGAAATATTCTTAAAATACATGAAAAAACCCGTCACCAATCAATATGTAGTCCTAGCTGTAGACACATCCACTTGTATGAATTGAGATGGTGGGTAGACAGGGACCACGGCCAGTCACAAGAAACAGCTACACACGCTGAGGAAGAGATGGTTGATTGGGATTTAGTAGATCTGGAGAGTGAGAGCAATGCATAATGTGTTATTTTTATATTTTGTAACTAATAGTGTTAGCACATTTTTTTAGTCCTGTTTTGCGAGAATTTAGCACATTTTTAGAGCTGTTTCATGTAAATTTAATGTGTTTTACCTCCTTTTAGGAAAGACTCATTTTTTTATCAAAACTTAGCCAGTCAGAATTGGAGGGCATTTGTCTTCTTTTTGTAAGCAGTACAGTATTTAGACTTGGGTCCCATCCCCAAGCTGTCCCTTTTTGTAGATGCAGATATACAAATATTCCAAAATCCAAAAAAATTTGAAATCCAAAACACTTCCAGCCCTAAGTATTTCATATAAAGGATTCTGAACTGTATTTTTATTTAGTTTGAAAATGGATATTCAAAGTGTATAGATCATATCCTGGTAAATTCTGTTAATTCTCACCTCAAACACTTCCTTGATAATTGCAACAGAACCCACAGACATAATACTAGACACAAAAATCTCTGTGACATACCCTGTGTGCAGCTTAATCTTTGTAAAAACTCAGTGTCCATAAGAGAACCCAAACTCTGAAACTCCCTGCTAAATCTCTGCAGAGCCACTCTCTCTGCCAGCATCTTCAAAACTACTGTAAAAAAAAGAACACATTCTTATACTAACATATCCAAACAACTACTAAATATGATGAAACTATATTTTCATACTCTCATTGCCACAAGCATATGAAAAACAATATACATATTTTCTTATTCTCATTATCTGCACCTCACAACCATTAAATATATCGAATGTATATTCAAAATATGCTCATATGCTTGAATCCTCATTACCTGTAATTATAAGCCAACTTGTGATCCTTAAAACAATTAAACTTGATAAAAGCATTTATTGCACAATAATTCCTAAATTTATTGTTACAACCACTTACAGACTGTATATACAAGCAATCACTTAATTATTGCCTTATTAGTCTTAAGATAGGCTTAAGTTTGCCTGAAATGCTCTACACACTAAATGCTTCTTGCATGCACACCTAAATGTCACCCATCTCTGTACAAACTTTGTATCATGCTGCAATAAAGAATCTTTAATCTTCAGAGAGGTTCGATAGCCAGAATGCCTAAGCATCAAAAGATTTTCCTTGTACCATAGAATATGTGATAGTAATCTTATTTTCTTTCTTTCAGATTGAAAAATTTGTTGCGTATGGATTTTTCCAATGTGCCGATTCCTTTTTCTTTGTCTTCACCTTTTTACCTATTAGATTCGCCCTTGCCATATGGTCCCTCATGACACGTCCCATCAGAAAGTTATTTGGGTAAGCATTATCCATCTTGTTATAAAATAATGAAAATACTGATCTCTAGTTTTATTCAATTTATTTTTTTGATTTACAGTAATATATTTTTCATTAGGGACTTACTGCGGTTATAAAATGTACATCAACCTATAGATATCATATTTAATGTTTGTTTTTCTATACTATTTTCAAATAAAAATTTAAAATTCAAATCAATAGTATATGACATATTTTATTCTGTGCATTTATATTTACTTATGAAATTTTTCTTGACAGATTGTACTTCAATAAAAATCGAAGAATTCTCAAGCCTGCAGAAATTGTAGATTTGCTGAAAGGAGTAATGGTATTAGTGTGTTGCTATTTAATGGGTTATATTGACACTTCAGTCTGCTATCACATCATCAAAACCCAGTCAACTATAAAGCTATACTTGTTCTTCAATATGCTGGAGATTGCAGATAGGTGAGATATTATTACTTTTGTTGTGACACTTTTTATTGACTTTAACTTAATAACGAGAAAATATGATTTATTACATTTTTATTTATTTGTATTAAATAGTATGGAATGTATACCAGCATTTTTCCTGTGAAATCATGATTTAGTTACATGTCTCGAAGGATATAGATTAATTTGGAGGCTGCACTAAGTTTAAGTGCTACTCAGTTTTAACCCCCTTCACTGTTGGAAGCTCTAAAGTAACAGTGCTCATAGTGTTGGCATTTTTCAAAAAGAAAAAGGTATGCAATGGTTGAGAATCTTTTTCTGAAGGTAATGACACTAAAAATACAATATTTGATGAAAATCTCATGGAATTACCTAGGTACAAAGTTAGCAGTCTGGTTGCAATTTACACATTAGCGATTTTACCCACTTTAGTCCTATTTTTAAGCCAATTCTCCTGATCGGTTCAACCAAATTCTTAGCTATTTCTCAAATATCCTTTCGATTCAATCAATTGATCACAAGAAACTGCCCATTCAACTATCAGAACTACCCTATAAAGTGCACAGAATTCTTTAATTTGGCCAATTTAACACATTCCAAAATAAACACTGTAGACATTCTAGGCACAAACGCAACATATCGTATGTTTATTAAACATGTCCTCAGGCCTCTCTTACATTCACTTGCCCTCCATTTTGAATTCATCACCACACAAAAAATCAAAGATTTACTCTATTTCTTGAATAATAAAATATAACTATACAAGATATGATGTAGGACGAAATGACAGTAGTTTGTTGGATTATGTATTGGTAGATAAAAGACTGTTGAGTAGACTTCAGGATGTACATGTTTATAGAGGGGCCACAGATATATCAGATCACTTTCTAGTTGTAGCTACACTGAGAGTAAAAGGTAGATGGGATACAAGGAGAACAGAAGCATCAGGGAAGAGAGAGGTGAAGGTTTATAAACTAAAAGAGGAGGCAGTTAGGGTAAGATATAAACAGCTATTGGAGGATAGATGGGCTAATGAGAGCATAGGCAATGGGGTCGAAGAGGTATGGGGTAGGTTTAAAAATGTAGTGTTAGACTGTTCAGCAGAAGTTTGTGGTTACAGGAAAGTGGGTGCGGGAGGGAAGAGGAGCGATTGGTGGAATGATGATGTGAAGAGAGTAGTAAGGGAGAAAAAGTTAGCATATGAGAAGTTTTTACAAAGTAGAAGTGATGTAAGGAGGGAAGAGTATATGGAGAAAAAGAGAGAGGTTAAGAGAGTGGTGAAGCAATGTAAAAAGAGAGCAAATGAGAGAGTGGGTGAGATGTTATCAACAAATTTTGTTGAAAATAAGAAAAAGTTTTGGAGTGAGATTAACAAGTTAAGAAAGCCTAGAGAACAAATGGATTTGTCAGTTAAAAATAGGAGAGGAGAGTTATTTAATGGAGAGTTAGAGGTATTGGGAAGATGGAGGGAATATTTTGAGGAATTGTTAAATGTTGATGAAGATAGGGAAGCTGTGATTTCGTGTATAGGGCAAGGAGGAACAACATCTTGTAGGAGTGAGGAAGAGCCAGTTGTGAGTGTGGGGGAAGTTCGTGAGGCAGTAGGTAAAATGAAAGGGGGTAAGGCAGCCGGGATTGATGGGATAAAGATAGAAATGTTAAAAGCAGGTGGGGATATAGTTTTGGAGTGGTTGGTGCAATTATTTAATAAATGTATGGAAGAGGGTAAGGTACCTAGGGATTGGCAGAGAGCATGCATAGTTCCTTTGTATAAAGGCAAAGGGGATAAAAGAGAGTGCAAAAATTATAGGGGGATAAGTCTGTTGAGTATACCTGGCAAAGTGTATGGTAGAGTTATTATTGAAAGAATTAAGAGTAAGATGGAGAATAGGATAGCAGATGAACAAGGAGGCGTTAGGAAAGGTAGTGGGTGTGTGGACCAGGTGTTTACAGTGAAACATGTAAGTTAACAGTATTTAGATAAGGCTAAAGAGGTTTTTGTGGCATTTATGGATTTGGAAAAGGCGTATGACAGGGTGGATAGGGGGGCAATGTGGCAGATGTTGCAGGTGTATGGTGTAGGAGGTAAGTTACTGAAAGCAGTGAAGAGTTTTTACGAGGATAGTGAGGCTCAAGTTAGAGTATGTAGGAAAGAGGGAAATTATTTCCCAGTAAAAGTAGGCCTTAGACAAGGATGTGTGATGTCACCGTGGTTGTTTAAATATTTATAGATGGGGTTGTAAGAGAAGTAAATGCGAGGGTCTTGGCAAGAGGCGTGGAGTTAAAAGATAAAGAATCACACATAAAGTGGGAGTTGTCACAGTTGCTCTTTGCTGATGACACTGTGCTCTTGGGAGATTCTGAAGAGAAGTTGCAGAGATTGGTGGATGAATTTGGTAGGGTGTGCAAAAGAAGAAAATTGAAAGTGAATACAGGAAAGAGTAAGGTTATGAGGATAACAAAAAGATTAGGTGATGAAAGATTGGATATCAGATTGGAGGGAGAGAGTATGGAGGAGGTGAATGTATTCAGATATTTGGGAGTGGACGTGTCAGCGGATGGGTCTATGAAAGATGAGGTGAATCATAGAATTGATGAGGGGAAAAGGGTGAGTGGTGCACTTAGGAGTCTCTGGAGACAAAGAACTTTGTCCTTGGAGGCAAAGAGGGGAATGTATGAGAGTATAGTTTTACCAACGCTCTTACATGGGTGTGAAGCATGGGTGATGAATGTTGCAGCGAGGAGAAGGCTGGAGGCAGTGGAGATGTCATGTCTGAGAGCAATGTGTGGTGTGAATATAATGCAGAGAATTCGTAGTTTGGAAGTTAGGAGGAGGTGCGGGATTACCAAAACTGTTGTCCAGAGGGCTGAGGAAGGGTTGTTGAGGTGGTTCGGACATGTGGAGAGAATGGAGCGAAACAGAATAACTTCAAGAGTGTATCAGTCTGTAGTGGAAGGAAGGCGGGGTAGGGGTCGGCCTAGGAAAGGTTGGAGGGAGGGGGTAAAGGAGGTTTTGTGTGCGAGGGGCTTGGACTTCCAGCAGGCATGCGTGAGCGTGTTTGATAGGAGTGAATGGAGACAAATGGTTTTTAATACTTGATGTGCTGTTGGAGTGTGAGCAGGGTAACATTTATGAAGGGGTTCAGGGAAACCGGCAGGCCGAACTTGAGTCCTGGAGATGGGAAGTACAGTGCCTGCACTCTGAAGGAGGGGTGTTAATGTTGCAGTTTAAAAACTGTAGTGTAAAGCACCCTTCTGGCAAGACAGTGATGGAGTGAATGATGGTGAAAGTTTTTCTTTTTCGGGCCACCCTGCCTTGGTGGGAATTGGCCAGTGTGATAATAAAAATAAAAAAAAACTAGGAATGATGTAGGTAATAAGTTGGTAGACAGCTGCCACCCAGGGATGTACTACCATCCTGCCGAGTGAGTGTAAAATGAAAGCCTGTAATTGTTTTACATGATGGTAGGATTGCTGGTGTCTTTTGTCTGTCTTATAAACATGCAAGATTTCAGGTATGTCTTGCTACTTCTACTTGCACTTATGTCACACTACACATACATGTACAAGCATATACATACACACACCCCTCTGAGTTTTCTTCTATTTTCTTTCTAGTTCTTGTTCTTGTTTATTTCCTCTTATCTCCATGAGGAAGTGGAACAGAATTCTTCCTCTGTAAGCCTTGCGTGTTGTAAGAGGCGACTAAAATGCCGGGAGCAAGGGGCTAGTAACCCCTTCTCCTGTATAAATTTAAAAAGAGAAACTTTCGTTTTTCTTTTTGGGCCACCCCGCCTTGGTGGGATGCGGCTGGTTTGTTGAAAGAAGAAGAAGAAGCATGCAAGATGTCAGGTACGTCTTGCTACTTCTACTTACACTTAGGTCACACTACACATATATGTACAAGCATATATATACACACCCCTCTGAGTTTTCTGCTATTTTCTTTCTAGTTCTTGTTCTTGTTTATTTCCTCTTATCTCCATGGGAAAGTGGAACAGAATTCTTCCTCCGTAAGCCATGCGTATTGTAAGAGGCGTCTAAAATGCTGGGGGCAAGGGGCTAGTAACCCCTTGTATAAATTACTAAATTTAAAAAGAGAAACTTTCGTTTTTCTTTTTGGGCCACCCTGCTTTTGTGGGATATGGCCGGTTTGTTGAAAAAAAAAAACTAGGAATGATTGGTCATTTGTTAAGGCATCCCAGTAATTGAATCAGACATGGTAAAAACCCATAAAACAGACAAGGGGTATAGGAGGAGCCTTACCAATCCACAGGAAAATCTTCAAAAAATTTAATATTCCAGCTGAGCCCAATTTCCAGCTACTTCCTGTCCTGAAACCAACTAGAATCATCTCTATTTCAGAAGAATGTCTTCCATTCTGTCAAATGATACTGAGAAAAAAGCAAAAAAAAAAAAAAAAAAAAATTATCCTAGATAGCACCTTAAAGTTACTATTCTAAAACAGACAATAAGATCTAAGGTTTGATTTTCCTCGTTATGCACTGCCTGGGGCAGGATTTTTTTTTATACTGTGTTCACTCACCACACAGATTTATTCTCTCATATCTAAGCCAAAATTTACCATTCACAGCTTATCTGGTGGAGCTGAGCTCACAACGTAGATGTAAGTAAGTGACTGGTGTCGGTAACATAGATCTATGTTTGAGACCGTGAAAGGGTTAAGAGTTGATACTGCATGCATCACCTTGCTGTAGTAGAAAATTTCATGTAGACTGTAGACTTATCAGACCACTTCGTTGTTAAGATGTATTTTTTTAACACACCGGTCATCCCCCGCAAAGGTGGGGTGACATGAAAAAGAAAAAACACCTTCATTTTAACCCTTTGACTGTTTTGGTCGCATATATACGTCTTACGAGCCACCGTTTTTCACGTACAGTAGAACCTCAAAAATCGAATGTATCACATATCGAACGTTTCGAAAATAGGACCATTTTTTCGGACAAACTGTGTCCCTATTATCGAATGCGCCCCTATTTTCGGACCGCCGGGTACGGGACCTGTCTGCCAGCCTGCTCTGTCCGCGTCCCCGCGCAGGCGCCGTGAGCAGTCTAGCTTTGTTTATGCTTCAGTGAACACTAACCTGCGCTCTCATTCATGCATTTTACGATTATTTCGTTGTGTTTAGTGCTTTTGGGACTATGAAATAAGCTGCCATGGGCCCAAAGAAACTTGCTAGTGGTACCCCTGTGGTAAAGAAAGTGAGAAACACCATAGATGTGAAGAAGGAAATAATACAGAAGTATGAGAGTGGTGTGAGACTTGTTGAGCTTGCCAGGATGTATGGGAAAAACAAGTTGACCATCGGTTCTATCCTGTCAAAGAAAGAACAAATCAAGGAAGCTGATGTTGCGAAAGGTGTTAATATAGGGAGGTGGATGAGGTGCCCTTTTTCAAAGATTAAGGAGATTTGTGCTAAGTGGAATGATGTCCAAATGTTTGTGCAGAAGTACCACCCTGAGCAAGCTGAAACAAGCCATCTTTGCAACAAGTTCAGCGACAGAACCATGTCCCATTTTAGGGAAATGTTAAAGAGGCGCCAGAAACAGAGGACTGTGGACAGTTATTTTGTGAGACAGGGGTCCAGTGACTCTCAAGCTGGTCCTAGTGGCTTTAAAAGACAGAGAAGGGAAGTAACCCCAGAGAGGGCTTTACCTGAAGTCCTCATGGAGGGGGATTCTCCTTCCAAACACTAACCCCAACTCCCTCTCTCCTCCTCCCTATCTTCCAGATGCCATCACCAATCTTCAATAAAGGTAAGTAAAAATGTTATTTTATATGCATTACTATACATAATTAAAAACTATAGTATTTGTTGTATGTAAAACTGTAATTAATCTCTCTAAAATGTATTTTTTGTGTGAATATTTTTGGGTTTCTGGAACGGATTAATTATATTTCCATTATTTCTTATGGGAAATATTGCTTCCAAATTAGAACTAGCTCCTGGAACGGATTAAGTTCGATTTTTGAGGTTCCACTGTATATATACTCATAAATTCTAGCCGCTTCAAATCAAGCAGGAGAAAGCTGGTAGGCCCACGTGTGAAAGAATGGGTCTGTGTGGTCAGTGTGCACCATATAAAAAAAATCCTGCAGCACGCATTGCATAATGAGAAAAAAAAAACTCTGATCTTTTTTTTTTTTCAATTAAAATGCTGACCTTTTTTATCTATTTTTGTATAGTATTTATGGTTGTATTATCGTTTTCTTGGTCTCGATTGATAGAATGGAAAACATATTATAGAAGCAGAGGTGATTTTCATTGGTTTTACTATGAAAAGAACCTTGAAATGGAGCTCAAATTAGGGGAAATGTTTGATTTTTGCCGATGTTCAAAGGTAAACAAATGATGTCTGTGAGGGAAAAGTTCAATAGATAGGAATAGAGAGGGAGTATATAATAACAATAGTTTCATTGCCGGCTACTTGTTAAGGTAGGGTAAGTCAAGTTCCCACTATTCCCGCCTTTTTTCCCCCTCCCCGAAAGTGATAGTTTCATTGCCGGCTACTTGTTAAGGTAGGGTAAGTCAAGCTCCCGCTATTCCCGCCTTTTCTCCCCCACCCCTAAAGTGATAGTTTGATTGCCGGCTGCTTGTTAATGTAGGGTCAGTCTAGCTCCCACTATCCCTTCCCCTCCCTCCCCCCCCCCCCGAAAGGTGACGTGTGGGGCTCTGGTCAAACAGTAAATCACTCGACTCACAGCTCCCAACACTACTGTAAGTACATGCCTGCCTTGTATTCTAGTGGTTTTATTGGTTAAAAGTTTTCACTTTTGCCCAATAATAAACTTAGTCTTTTCAGCCTTGCTCAAATTTGACGTTAAAATAGCACCACGCTTTTGAGTATTTTACTTCCCAGGGAGAGTGATTTCTTAAGCGGGGGTAACTGCTATTTTTTCGTTTGGATGCAGAGGGGTCCCCTTTAATAAACGAGAAAAAATAAGGGAGGGACTAACGCCTGGAGCGTCCCATTTTGGTTTTTAATTACCTGTCACCTGTATAAAATTTGCAGGCGTAACCCCATCATTCAGCGGTAAAAACCTGTTTTCCCTGTCATCGGGAAAAAATCACCAGGGGCCTTTTTGTGAAAAAACGCCGGTGGTGGTCACCAAAACCTGCGCCCCCCCCCCCCCCCCCCACATCAGCAACGGCAAAGATTTCAACAACAGTGTCCCCAACACCAACACCCTTATATATTGCGTTGAATTCAGTTTTTTTTAAAATTTTTTATTTTCATTTTTTAATGTGGATTAAAATTTATATTTAAATGTTTTTTTTTAAAATTTTTATATAATGAAAGTTTTGCTTTTTGTTATTATTTCTTTTTATTCATTAATTTTTTTGAGGAGGGGCCAGCCGAGTAATAGGGCTGAAGTTATTACAGGGCTAGTAAGCCTTTACAATGTCTTTTCCAATAAATGTCCAAGTACCATTTTTAATATGCAGTCATGAATGGGTTACTTTATACAATTTTATAATATTTCAGTAGTTTGAAACATAAATCTTTTGTTTTTTGTTTGATAAAAATTAAAAAAAGAAACAAGAGATATAGAGGGGGCCCGGAAAAAGGACTTTAAAAAGAAAATGTTATTTTAAAACCAGGAGTGTCTGCCTTGTTTATTCTGGACCCTATTTTGAAATTGTTGTATTTTTAAATTTTTGTGAAATTGGCCAAATTCCAAATTTCTGACCACGTTATTGGGTAGTTGAAATCGGTATATTGGCAGTTTCTTGTACTCAATTGATAGAAAAAAGGGAAAATTCTAAAGAAATAGCTATGAGTTTGGTCAACTGGAACAATGGAATTAGCCGAAAATAGGGCTCAAAGTGGGCGAAATCGCCAACTCAAATATCAAAGCGGTCGCTAACTTCGCGAGAGCATAATTTCGTCAGTTTTCCATCAAATTTCGTTCTTTTGGTGTCATTACATTTGGGAAAAGATTCTCTATCATTTATAAGAAAAAATAATCTTTTGGGGGGGGGGGGGGATTTTGCGACACCAGGAGACACCCCAGGATTTGGGGTTGCGACAGTCAAGGGGTTAACTCACTTTATCATTATCTTGCCAGAGGTGTGCCAACATTACAGCTCAGATACCCATCCAGACTGCAGTATTCCTACCTCTCCTTCAGAGTGCAAGTACTATACTTCCCACCTCCAGGACTCAAGTCCAGTTAACTGGTTTCCCTGAATTCTTTCATAAATGTAACCTTGCTCACAGTCCAAAATGCCAAGTCTTAAAAAAAACCAGTTGCTTCCATTCACTCCTATCTAACACGCTTGCACATACCTATTGGATGTCCAAGCCCCTTGCATACAAAACCTCCGTTATCCCTTACCTCCAACTTTTTCTATGACAACCCCTACCTCTTTTTCCCTCCACTACAGATTTATATACCCTCCAAGTCATCCTATTTTGCTCCATCCTCTCTAAATGTCCAACCCAGCACAATAACCCCTCTTCAGCCCCCTGGATAATGCTTTTAGGCACCTCACACCTCCTGCTAATCTCCAAACTACAAATTCTCTACATAATAGTATTCACACCACACATCGCCCTCAGACACATCTCCACTAATTCCAGCTTCATCCTCACTGCAAAGTTTAAAACCCATATTTCATATCCATATAAGAGTGTTGGTACTACTATAGTCTGGTACATTTACCCTTGTGCCTCTAAAGATAAGGGTCTTATTTTTCATAGGTGCTTCAATTCACCATCTATCTTTATCCCCTCTTTAGTTTTATCATAGACCCTTTCACTGACAAGTCCACTCTTAAATATCTGAACACATTCACTTCTTCCACACTTTCTCCTTCCAATTTGATATTTAATCTTTCATTACCTAAATTTTTTTGTTACTCTAATCATCCTATTCTTTCGTGTGTTCACTTTTAATTTCCTCTTACATACCTCCTAAATTCATCTACCAACCTAAAGCACTGTGTCATTGGCAAAAAGCAACTGTGACAACTTCCACATGTATTAGATTCTTTATTTTTTAATCCCACACACCTCCCAATACCTTAACATTCACTTGTTTGACAAACCCATCTATAAGAACATAAGAACGAAGGGACACTGCAGCAGGCCTACTGGCCCATGCGAGGCAGGTCCAAGTCTCCTACCGGCTTAAGCCAATGCACCCAACCTAGTCAGGCCAGGTCACATTGACTTAAGGGAGGAACACGGCAACAGGCCTGGTAGCACAAGCTATAAGGTCCAACTCACACCCACCCACATCCACTCATGTATTTATCCAACCTATTTTTGAAGCAACACAATGTTCTGGCCTCTATAACTGTACTTGGGAGTTTGTTCCACTCATCCACAACTCTATTACCAAACCAGTACTTTCCTATATCCTTCCTGAATCTGAATTTTTCCAACTTAAAACTTGTGCAGTAATTCTTTTGTTTTCAGGCTTATGTCAGCATTTGGACAAGACACGTTGGATGCTCTATTCTGGACAGCAACAGAACCCAGAGGCAAGAAACGAGAACATTTTGGTGTTCTGTTTCATTTGCTTGTTGCAATTGCATATGTTGCCTTGCATTCAACCATTGTTCTCCTACAAGCTCTCACACTTAATGTGGCCATCAATTCCGATAACAAGGGGCTGCTAACCATCGTTATCTCTAACAATGTAAGATCATACTATGTTATGGAGTTTGCCTCTTTAATTTTAGTTGGAATTTCCAGTGAAAATATAAATATGTATGTGTATGTATGTATGTATATATGTATGCATGCATTTTTATTTATTTATTTTATACCCTGAAGTTTTGTTTGTCCTCTCTTCTTCATAAGTGTAAATACAGTATTCACCCGAATAGTAAACTTATTAGCAAATGACTCAGTCCTTAACATTATTCTTGTTTTCAGTTTGTCGAGTTGAAGGGAGCTGTATTCAAGAAATTTGACCGCAATAACCTCCTCCAGATATCATGCAGTGATGTTCGTGAAAGATTTCACAACTGTGTCCTTCTGCTAGTGGTGGTGATACAGACCATGAAAGAATATGCATGGAAAGAAGGTATGATAAGCAGGGGTGTATATTCTGGGTGTGCTAGGTGAGCACTGCACACCCATCAAAGATGGTAAACTCATCATAAATGTTAAGCTCACTTAATAATATAATCATGAATAGTAATGGGAAAATAATTTTCTGTCCTCTGTTATCAAATATTGTAGCAGTTATTCTAAGATAGCACTGCACACCCACAGCTAGTTGTGTCATGCACAGCATACACACTGTGACAATAACCCACCATACGCCACTGATGAGAAGGCTTCATGGCACTTATATTACTTTTAACCCTTTGACTGTCAAAAGGCCCAATCCTGAAGTGTCTCCTGGTGTCGCCAAATATTCAAAAAAAAAAATTATTTTTTCTTATGAAAATGTTAAGATTATTTTTCTGATTGTTTTAGTCCCCCCAAGTACTTACTGAGATATAGAGGTGTGAAGTTTGCTGAAAATGATATGTGAACGGCAACAGCGGCGACTGCCGCTCACCCGGTAAACTTTGATTTACTTGTATTCGATGGTTTCTTGTTTTTTCACTATTTTATTTTTTCACATAACTTTTGTGGCCTGTGAGACCAAATTATTGTGCATTGTTCAAATATACACTCGTTGAATGTAACACAATTATAGCAAAAACACTCGTATCATTATAATGTTGCTAAAACTTGTTTACACAAACAAACAATATAAAATTTTTTTTATTACGATTGTTCTATAATATATATACATATGTACGATCACTGGACACTTTTCTAGAACTGCTGCAGCTTGTGGAATTCTTTGAAACATAGGTATAAGCACAATGGCGTTTTACACTCCTCACACATAAAATGAGTGTCTATGCGTTTTTGTGGGCGTTTTGTGGTATGTCCACAGACAAAACACCTCTTCTGAGCATTTTTCTTGAGAGCAGTAGCAGGCAGTGGTATGAGGTAGTGATCACCAGGCCTCAGACGAAAGGACATGTGTTGATAATTTTGTGGGCGCTGGTCCATTGCAGGTGTTGTTCCTTGGTACTTGAATATTATTTGTCTGATGACTGACAAACAAAATTCACCATATTTGGGTTTGTTCTTGGTCTTCAACTTATACATATTATAAGCATTCAGCATGAAAATGTCAAGAAGATGGAAAAACAGTTTTATGTACCACTTACAACTCTTGCGAACACAGTCAGCAAACCCAATCTGCATGTCACATTTGTCCACTAAGCGCATATTGAGGTTGTAATCCATCACAGCTGCAGGTTTTACAATGGGTTCAGTGGTCTCTCTATTCTGCTTGCCAGTGTCTACCATTTCGTGTCGGTGAACTGATGTCAGCAGTGTGACATCACGTTTGTCATGCCACCGAAATGCCATGATGTCATTGGCAGCAAACACCTGCACTTCACCTCTACGACTGCCAGCATCGAACCTAGGCATATGTTTACGATTTCCATGCACTGTGCCACACACATCTGTCATGTTCACTCGCAAGAAATCACTGAGTATAGGGCTTGTGTACCAGTTGTCAGTATATAAAATATGCCCCTTACCAAGATATGGCTCCATCATTGTTCTAACCACATCACCAGAGATACCCAGTAGCTTTCTGGTATCTTCCAATGTTTTACCACCAGTGTACACAATTATATCCAAAACCAGACCAGTTTTGCAATCACACAGAACAAATAACTTTATACCAAAGCGTTTCCTCTTGCTTGGTATATACTGTTTGAATGAGAGTCTTCCTTTGAACAAAACCAAAGACTCATCAATAACAAGCTTCCTGAAGGGATAAAAATACATACAGCACTTTTGTTTCAGGTGCATAAACACACGTCTGATCTTACATAACCTGTCGCTTCTGTCAGGCCTTGTTTCGTCTGAAAAGTGTAACATACGTAACAGTAACACAAATCTATTCGCTGGTATAATGTCACTGAAAGCAGGGGTTGAAATCAGGCAGTCTGTCGCCCAGTATGTGTAGACACTGTGCTTATACACATGTGGCATAAGCATTATTGTGGCAAAGAACAGACACATCTCTGCTATAGTTGTGTCCTTCCACTGGTGTAGGCATGATCTTGGTGACAGAATAGTGTTTGCCATGGTGTACCCATAGTATGTATTGCTTTCCCTGACAATAATGTCCATCAGGGGTTCATCGAAGAACAACTGAAAGCATTCCAGTTCAGTGGGATTGTTCCCAAGTGTACATGATGGCCGTATTCCACTTTGTCCTCCATCAAAGTCATGGGGACTGGGAACAAACTCGTCATCTTGCTGCCAATCCCAGATGCTGTCAGCTGGTGGGTTCTGGATATTGTAATGTGGTTGTGGTTGTGCAGGTTATGGTTGTGGCTGTTGTGGGAGTGTGGGGTCGGGTGAGGCTGGCTGTAGTTGTGCAGAGTCAGCAGAGTGGGTAGTAGCGTGGCCTGCTGCTGGTGTCACATGACTCGTGCCACCATCACTATCATCACCACCGCCTGCTGCCTCACTTGCATCATTGATACCCATCGTAACAATATCGTCATCTTCACTATCAGGTCGTGGTGTAGGGCCATGGGATGTGCTCTGAGATGTACTCCTACCTCTTGGAAGAGCATATGACACACTACCAGACCGCATGCGACGTCGTATATACTGCCGCTTCACTGGGGAATATTCACCCTCACTGTCACAACTAGAACTGCTTTCAATAACCTTGAAATCACTATCACTTACACTGCTCACATCTGAGTCTTGTACACAGGCAAATAGTTTCCTCTTTCGTCCTGGTACAGGTGAACATGAACGAGCCGGCCCAGTACCAGAGGTGGAAGGTTGTGGGTCATCTGGGTTTTCATCACTAATTATGTTATCCTGGGCACTTTTTTCATTCACACCCACTTCAAAACCAGGGAATTCACTTTCACTGACACTTTCGTCGCTGTTTGAGCTATCACTTGGGAACAAAAGACCTCCAATCCGCCGAGGAGTGAAGAACTTCTTACCGCGAGGCATGGTGAAAATGGACTACCAAGATGGCGTTCCCACAATGCACCCCTGAGTCCCACATTTTTTTCACAGGGTGCACACCCACCACTGAGACCCATTCTCTCTCATGTAGGCCTACCAGCCCTCTCCCGCTTGATTTGAAACCGCTAGAATTTATGAGTATAGATACGTCAAACACGGTATCTCCCATGATGTATATATACGACCACGACAGTCAAGGGGTTAATAGACTCATTTTCATACGTATTGTTTGCATATTTAATTTACGGTATGTAATAATGTACAAGGGGCTTGGACATACAGCAGGCAAGTGTGAGCTTGTTAGATAGGAGTGAATGGAGACAAATGGTTTTTGGGACTTGACGAGCTGTTGGAATGTGAGTAGGATAATATCTTGTGAAGGGATTTGGGGAAACCAGTTAGCTGGACTTGAGTCCTGGAGGTGGAAAACACAGTGGCAGCACTTTAAAGGAGAGATTTGGGATACTGGCTGTTGGGATTGATATTTAAACTGTTGTATCTGGCCACCTTTGTAAAGACAGTGATTATGTGCGAATAATGATGAAAGTGTTTTTTAGAGGAGGAGTTGTTGAGGAGATATGGGTATCTTGAGAAGATGAAGCAAAGTAAAATCACAAAAAGGGCATATAAATCTAGGGTAAAGGAAAGAAGGGGCACGAAACATCTGATGAAGTTGGAGGGAGGGGATAAAGGTGTTAGAGTGCTAGGGGCTGGAACATCTAATGGATTTGTGTGAACACATACAATTGGAATGAGCAGAGGCAAGTGGTTTTCATGACAATATGCTGATGGAGTGTGAGGAAGGTAACATTTATGAAGAGATTCAAAGAAAACAGGTTAGCTGTAAAGCACAGTACAGCTGAAGTACAGCTGAAAAGTACAGTGCCTGCACTTCAGTGGGAGATGACCACTGTGTTAAAAAAAATTAGAGAAGCTCCTTGTATGTGCTGTACAGTGTTTTAGTTTTGACTGGCTAAACATTTTAATATAAATGTGTATTTCGATGCAAATTATAACAGCAGTGATTCACATGACTGTAGCGTTTGGACAGAGTTTTTTTTGTGAGATATTTCTCAAGGACACTTGATTGTAAATATTTTGTGGAATTTTCTAGAAGCTCATTTGGGTCTTGTATATACGAAGCTCCTAAGTAGTAGGTTGGTAAACAGCAGCCGCCCAGGGAGGTACTACCGTCCTGCCAAGTGAGTGTACAACGAAAACATGTAATTGTTTTACATGATGGTAGGATTGCTGGTGTCTTTTGTCTGTCTCATAAACATGCAAGATTTCAGGTATGTCTTGCGACTTCTACTTGCACTTAGGTCACACTACACATACATGTACAAGCATATATATACACACCCCTCTGGGTATTCTTCTATTTTCTTTCAAATTCTTGTTCTTGTTTATTTCCTCTTATCTCCATGGGGAAGGGGAACAGAATTCTTCCTCCGTAAGCCATGCGTGTTGTAAGAGGCAACTAAAATGCCATATAAATTACTAAATTTAAAAGAGAAACTTTCGTTTTTCTTTTTGGGCCACCCTGCCTTGGTGGGATACGGCCGGTGTGTTGAAAGAAAGAAGAAGATATACGAAACTGTTGTTTCTTGTACTAAGAACTACTATATTTTTTTAAAAATGGGAAAAAGTAGTGAGAAACAATATACAGTCGACCCCCGCATAGCGACTTTAATCCGTGCAAGAGGGCTGATTGTTATGCGAAATGTTCGGTATGCGAATGAATTTTCCCCATAAGAAATAATGGAAATCAAATTAATCCATGCAAGACACCCAAAAGTATGAAAAAAAAAATTTTACCACATGAAATATACATTTTCCTACACACAAAGAGAAGGATACATGCACAATAGTAGAGTAGTACATGCACAATATATATTGTGCATGTACTACTCTACTAAATGAAGAATAAATGACACTTACCTTTATTGAAGATGCAGCAATGACTGATGAGACACTGTGTCCTGGGAGTGCCTTTTCCTCCTG